ACTGTTGGAGCAATTGTTAGAAAATGGAAGAGGCTAAAAGATGACTATCAGTCTCCCTCAGACTGGGGCTCCATGCAAGATCTCACCTCATGGGGTATCACTGATGATAAGAAAGATGAGGAATCAGCCCAGAACTACAAGGGAGGAGCTGGTCAATGACATGAAGAGAGCTGGAACCACAGTTTCAAAGGTCACTGTCGGTAAAACACTACGCCGTCATGGTTTCAAATCATGCATTGCATGGAAGGTTCCCCTGCTCAAGTCATCACATGTCCAGGCCCGTCTGAAGTTTGCAAATGACCATCTGGATGATCCAGAGGAGGCATGGGAGAAAGTCAAACCACCTGTAAATGAATTATGAATGACCTCAAAAGCATCTTAAACTGATGTTGAATGCAATCAAGATGCACCAGAAAGAACACTGCATTTGCCCATTGACACTATCACTAATATTGGGCACTCACATAAGCTATGAGTTTCAATCACTGCCTTAACATACAGGGTCATAGATTGGGGTTATTGGGGTTCCAACCCCCCCAACAATCTCCTCCCACCCCTGAGCATTTGTAGTCACTGCACAGCAAAATCTCTCGCAGCTGCTGCTTCTGACACTTGTCAGAACTGAGAGACAGGCATCAGCAGTTCAGAAGGAGGCTCTACTTATTTCATCTTCAGGTTAATTTGCATGACAAAGCCAAGGGAGGTCTTCCCCTCACTCTGAAATGCCTAGCCTGGTGAATGGATTTCTTGGAGATCTTTACTGGGGTAAGATCTGTATATGGGAAGAAGGGGGCATAATGAGGGGGTGGGGGGGATTGGTACTGGAAGATGCCGTACTAGTGTTGGAGGAGGAAAACTGTACTGTGGGGAGCTGTAGTGGTTCAGAGGAGATTTGCATTCAGGGGGAGCTGTACTGGCAAGGGCTGTGGGATCTCTACCGGAGAGCTGTACTGGTAGGGGTGGGGTGGAGATCTGTACTAGGGGATCTATACTGGTCGGAGAGGTAACTATATATTGATGTGTGGGGAAATCTGTACTGGGGGGAGCTGTACTAGTGGAAGGGAGGCCTATACTGTGATAAGCTATACCAGTGGGAGCTATGCTTTACAAAGGAATTACTGTACTGGGGGTAGGGGATCTGTACTGGAAGGAAATCTATATAGGGGGATCTGTACTGGAGGGAGATATGTACTGGGGGGGATCAATCTATACTGTGGGCTGAGATCTCTACTGAGGGGAGCTGTAAAAGGATGGGGGGATCTGTATTGAGGAAAGATCTGTAGTGGAAAGGGAGGAAATCTGTACTTGGGGGAGCTGTACTGGTTGGGGTGGGGGGGTCTATGTCGCAAATGTGCGCATCAGAGATGGACGCGGTTCAACCATTTTGTTAGGCATCTCCATTTTCTCTCCTCATCCTTCCCCCCTCCCTTCCTGAGAGGCCCATGTGGCCAGTATGTGTGTGAGTTACGAATGTCACTGGAGGGTCATAGGAGCCCCCAAGAGAGTTGGAGTCTCACTGACCAAAGAACCTGTGTAATTTCACACCTCTTAAAAAGATAACGGAGCCTTCCCAGGTGTTAAAGGCATTCTCAAGAAGCACACACCAGATAACATTTTTAAAAGATCCATTTTTCCCCTACGTCTCATATCTTGGAATATGAGAGACATATATAAAAGCCGGACATATCATCAGATGGATGATGAGCAGGTGAGCAGTTTGATGGGTCACTCGGGCGCACGAGAAAGCAGAGAAATAGATCTCGTGAACCGTTTAGCATACAACTTCATAATTCATATCTGGTCCTCAGAATTGTCTGCATAATAATCTACCCGCGGGTGGGAGGTCCCTGGTGTAGATGGAAGGTTATGGACCGGAATATGAGTTATGAAAGATGTTGGCTCCAGTTTAGGGCCCTGCCTGATGATTCCTCCCGAAACAGGGGATTGGTCCTTGACTTCAGAACCACCCCTGGCTGGGGAACACAAAAGAGGCTGTCAGGCCTAAGAAAGTTAAGTTGAAGACATCTCCCATTTTTTCCATCGTAACATAGGGAGATCAAAGCCCTTCTGCTCAGAAACTTGATCTGCTTACATCCAAGGCTTAATGGCAAGTATCTTAACCCTTTAACCACTTCCTGATATCTCTTTGCTGTGCTGCTAGTCTCTGTATGTTTATATATATATATCTTAGTTACATCTTTTTCTGTATGTTTATATATATATCTTAGTTACATCTTTTTCTGTAAATATTGTAATTGCACCCGTTTGACCTCTTAGTAATAAATCTTTCTTTCTGAAAGGGTTGAATTGTTTCTATAGCTTTTAATTGCAATTTATGAATCCCTGCCTTTAAAGAGAACGCTACTGTGTTTGTTTGAACCTCTGCATAACTGGCCTGTGGACCATTTTATACAGACGATTATATCAACCATTATAGTGTTAGAGCTGAACGCCGAGTTTCCTCTTTCTCTGATCAAAAAGGAGGTGGTGGCAGTGTCTGCATACAGTGATGAGGTCCCTGACCCAAAACCAACCTTTGGTTGGTTTTTTCACCACTCCGGGCTTGCTCGAAAGGATAGGAGAAGTCCTATCCTTGTGCTTGAACTCTGTATTCTTAATACCCTCTTCTCCCAGTTGTAATCACAGTCAATCTCAAGGGAGAGTGATACACTCCAGACTGACCATGTGCAGTATTGCCCAACTCTGTTGCCAGTGTTCTCCTGTATTTCTGCCTAGCACATCACATGTACTTTTCCATTACCTGGCCACTTCCCTTAAGGCAGCTCAAAAGTAACACAGGTACAAAGAACATGGCATTGCCCACAGGGTTGGTCTTCTTCCACACAAATAAAGCTTCTCCCAAACAACAACACATAACTTGGCTGCATGGGGAAACCTTTCTATCCTAACATCGATATATCTGGCATTATTTATTAACAAAAGTGCATGGAGTAATGCTGTGTACTGGGTAGGACTACAGCTTGTTATCACATTACATTACACATCATATTACACACTTTGTGTCTCTGAAAGATAGCTTAAAGATAGCTCAATGCTGGAGTTAGGAACATCTGACCAGAATATTATCTGGAACTGGGAGTTTTTAGAGATCAAAATTATGTCAAAAGATCATGTCAAGCAATAGGTTATCTAATGCAGAGATGCCATATGCCCTACAAAAAAAAGGTTTTTCCCTTTACAAAATACTCATTGAAATCAAAAATACTGCAAATAAAACCCGGGGGAGTATGCAATGAAATGTTTCCCTTTTAAGAAATAAAACAATTTGGCCCTTTAAAATTCTTTTACCAATAAAAAGTAATCAAATCCCCAAAAATATAAAAATCTCGTCTTTTCCCTGAATTTTTAATTTCAAACAAAACAAATTTTTTTTAAACAAAAAGGGGGATTTTGTTTGTACCGATTCAACATCAATGCACTTTTTTCAAAGCTGAAAAACTTGGAAAAAGGGGTAACCCTTTTCATTGACATCCAACATGCAAGAAAAATAAAACAGGGGGATTTTTTGTTTTCCATTTAGAAAAAAAACATTTTTTTTATTTTTTTGCAGTGGGGGGGGAAAAAAAAGGAAAAAAAAAAAAGGAAAAGGGAAAGGAAAAAAAAGGGAAAAAAGGGGAAAAAAGGGGAAAAAAGAAAAAAAAAAAAAAAAGAGAAAAAGGAAAAGGAAAAGGGGAACAGGGAAAAAAAAAAAAAAGTAAAGGGGGAAGGAAGGGAAAGGAGGGGGGGGGGGGGGGGGGGGGGGGGGGGTTTTTTCCCGGGGGGGTTTTAAAAATTTTTTTTTTTGGGGGGGGGGGGGGGGCCCCCCCCCCCCCCCCCCCGGGGGGGGGGGGGGGGGGGGTTTTTTTTTTTTTTTTTTGGGGGGGGGGGGGTTTTTTTTTTTTTTTTGGGGGGGGTTTTTCCCCCCCCCCGGGGGGGGGGGTTTTTTTTTTTTTCCCCCCCCCCCCCCCGGGGGGGGGGGCCCCCCCCCCCCCCCCCCCCCCCCCCGGGGGGGGGGGGGGGGTTTTTTTTTTTTTTTTTTTTTTTCCCCCCCCCCCCCCCCCCCCCCCCCCCCCGGCCCCCCCCCCCCCCCCCCCCCCCCCCCCCCCCCCCCCCCCCCCGGGGGGGGGGGGGTTTTTTTTTTTGGGCCCGTGGGTTTTCCCCCCCCCCCCCCCCCCCCCCTATTTGTGATAGTTTTTTTTTATTGTTATTTTTTTTTTATTATATTTTTTATATGGAGTTTTAATTTATTGGTATTTTTTAGGTTATATATGTTAAAGGAATTGTTATATAGAAATTGTATGTAAATATTAGTATGTATGTTTATTGAATAGATTGTTTGATTGTTTGATTTTTATTTTTGTTTTGTAATATTTGGTATGTTAGTGTTTGAATTTAGATTAATGATTTGTTTGTGTTTTTTTGTTTTATTTATTTTTATTTTTTTTTTGTTTTTTTTTTTTGTTTTTTTTTTTTTTTATTTTTGTTATAGTTTGGTTTTTTTTTGATTGATATGGAATATATGGGTAAAGTTGGTAAGTTTCTGGTTGTAAGTTAGTCTCTCCCCCCCCCCCCCTCCCCCCCCCCTTTTTTTTTAATTAATGCCCAGGCCACGCCCGTCCCCCGCCCTCTCCCACCCCCCTCCCCCCCCCCCCTTAAGTATGTAATATATTATTTTGTATAAGTATAGGATTATTCTCCCCCACCCCTCAGTTTTGCCCCCCACCCCCCCCCTCGCGGCCTTCGCTCCCCCCCCCCCCCCCTCCCGCGCTTATGGTGTATTTTATGTCTCCTGTATGGAATATGTTATTAGTTAAGAAAAGTAGTAAAAAATTTTTTATTAATATTTAAGGCTTTTCCCTGCCACTGTGGTGCGGGTACTCACATCCGGGCATATAACAAAAACATCAGGAATAATAACAGATACACTGTAAGTCTAAGTCGTAGGTTTGAATGTTTTGATATTATGTTTGTAAAATCCAGATCGAACAAGGGCCCGTTACTACACATGAATGGTATTTGAAACACTCTTCATGCTGGAATAACTCCTCCATCATAGACACTCACATCAATTTTATTACAACAATGCTCCAAACGTCTTGGCGTAAAGACCGACAGTTTACAGACATCCTTCCATACAGACTCACTGCATTAAATCAGGTGGACAGGACCGACAGTCTAGTGCATGGACTTCCACACTCCTAGTAGATCTTTCCCACCTGCCACACATTCTGTAAGAACAAGGACATCACATATGAATCCAGTCTCTGAAACATAGACCCTTGCAACCTGCGCTGTTGCCATCTAACCACCAATGAATTTTCTCAATTGCTGGGCAGATTAAAAAAAAATAAGAATGAGCTGCTTGCAAAGCATGGCCATACCCAACGATAGATATTTAAATAGAAATACTTCATATGGACATTATACAAAAAAACTGTATAATCATACTGGACATCAATTGATTGTTCAAAAATGTCACAATTGCTTTTAACTTTGGACTTTAAATGAATGTAATTTCCCAATGTAACACCGCATACAACTGTTTAACTGAGAAAAATTTTCCATTCTGTTGCTTTCAAATGTACTTTTCACTGTTGAAAATGAAAGTGTCCGTTTCACCACATTAATGATATCAAAATCAAGCAAATGTTCTCAATGAAAATTATCAATGTATGGTCAAGAATCAGAGAGGCCCCGAGACCGTTCAGCACTCATCAGTCCCTGGATCCATGAAGCTGCAACAGCATGTAGGACACCTTAAAGTGTATTTATGGTCAAAATGAAAAATCATGTAGCACTACCCACTTGAGGAGTCGCTGATTATTTTCGGGCCTGCCTGTTGTTCTGGACCCCTCTCTGAAAGCCTAACCCCTACAGACACCATGAGAGATTCCTTTAAACCAGAGTAAATTAATGCCAGAAAGTAAATTTACACACAGATTAAAGTAAACGGATAAGAGATTTATATTAAACTTCAATGTAAACTTGGTTGAGCAGTACAAACTGGTATTGATACTTTGTATGGCAAAAATTACTCTTAGCAATTCTAAGCAAAAAAGTAACACATATAGCAGAAGTTCAATCAATGTTAGCATGCCTACTTTTCAGAAACTAACCCAATGCTTCCGACCTGAGGTGATGGCAACCCCAGTGAGCAATAAGAACTAACAACAATGGGAGTAGCTTACTTTGGGACCTCAAGAGATCTGAAGGCAGTGTTTAGATCTGAGATAAAAGAGCTCTTTGACCAGGTAGTCAATGTTCATTTAAGTACAGTGAGAGGCTCTCACTGGGGGCCCAGTTGGTGCACATAGGCCAATGGTTCAGGGAGCACTGATGTGGTCTGGCCTGCAGGAGGCATGCACTGCGATCAGCTCTGATGATTTAACTGCACTGCAAATGTGTTCAACAGTAGCGGCTATGGGAACTAGGCCTGAACACATATTAACCTCCCTAGCGGTCTGATTATGTCAGTATTTCTGTGCTCAAAGCGGTACATTTTTTTGCATGGAAATATGTTGTTTTTTTTATTGTAGGCCTGTAATTTTTAGGAATAACTAACTGAAATCTGTCCAAACAAGAGTCTAGTAAATTAAACACGAAATCATAAATGATAATTTAATAAATAATCATAAAAAATAATAATATAATAATACATTTAATTCAATAATATAATCAAACCAAAAACACTGAAATTTGAAATATAGCGCCAAGTTCGCACATCACTAAGCTTAGTCGCAAAATCGCTTTCAGTGTCTGATGACGAATTTCCCACGAATCATTATCATTCAATTCTGCAAGTGGTTCTAATTTACTATCGCTGTTCTCTAGCTGGTCTAAAACCTAAAGGGACACTTTTTGGACGCCATGGACATTTCTCAGTTTCAAGACAGAAAGAACAGTAAAAATGCAGGCAGGGCACAGGACAAAGCACTCGGGACAAAATGTATGTGAAATGGTTTGATACAGTAATGTTTTACTATGTGATTTTAGTGTATTTAGCGAATGTCACTTTTTGACATTTTTAAATTTCCCACCAGTTCCGTCCCCGTACGTCCTGACGTCGCAGGGAACGAACCCGGAAGACAGATGCCAGCATCGGCCGGAGGACATTGCCAGGGACGCTGCAGGGGGGACATCGCGGGAGCGCAGGACAAGGTAAGTGAAACAGGGATCCCGGAGCAACGCTGCAAGGTATTCCCAAGTGTATCTCGGGGTTACCGCTTGTGGTGCTGAAACTTTACCCCGAGCTACACTCGGGAATACCGCCAGGGAGGTTAACTGAATGCAATGTCCACAACAGTGTACAAGCAAAGTTGCAGGTATGAGGAGAATGTCAGTGTTCTCTTGCTTAACTGGTGTATGGGACTCTCTCACCCGATCAGTGGCTTCCAGCAGGTCCTGGCTGTCTCTCTCTCTTGGCAGATGGGGGCCCCCACAGGTTCTCTGGCCTCTTGTGCAGCATTCCATCTGGTGACTGCGCTCCAGGTCACCTGCTGGTGGATTGTCTCACAGAACAAGGTGGCAAGGTCAGCAGTCAGCAGTTCCTCCTTGCTTCTCTTCTCTCTGATTCTGCAGCCTGGTCTGGTTCTCCAGTAGTCGGCACCACTCTCTCTCTCTCCGCTTCCTCTCCCCAGTTCTCTCCCCTCTCCCTTCCTGTCCAGTACCCCAGGCTTCTGTATATTTATGCCCCCACCCACACGCCAGCACTTCTGGGAAAAGTAGCCCTCTGGTACACTGCTCCCCAGCAAAGTCCTGCTATTCAGCATACAAGGTCCATGGGGTTGCTCTGCAGAATGTGAGTGCACATGCAGGACACTGCCATTTGTGTTGTGTTTTAACATGCTGCTGCGGACATTACAGCAAGAGTGTTACAGGTATATTCCTTCCTCATAGTATTTCAATTATTTCTAGCCTACTCCTATTAAACTGAAATATCCTAAAGTTTGTAAACTTACTGTGTGAAGATCCCACATATTTGCTTCATGAATTCTGTGACACATAGTCACTTTGTACTGTGAGTAGGCACTGCTGTGTCACACATTTCACAGAGCCTGCCTTCTGAACTACAGAGGTGCTGAGAGGAGGAGTTTCAGGAGGTGGAATCAGTACAGCAATCACTGCTTGAAGGCAGCAAGGTACCATGGGACATGTAGTCCTTAGAAATTGAAAGTAAACAGCAGAGGAAAAGCTGCAAAGTAAGCAGGGAATTCAGGAAGTTGGGGAAAGAGATCATCAGCAGACAGGCAGCGCTCACAACATGAAAGGAGATTATAGTAAAATTGTATTGGATTATAATCTATAACTATTGATTGTATTATTGTTACAATGCTGATGTTTTAAAATGAAATTGTTGTGTTATGCTGTGACCATAGATCTCCTTTAAGGTATGCTAAAGTGATATTTCAGCTTTACAAACCAGGTCTATTGGGAAAGCACAAAGTACAATGACTCAAAACAGGCAATCAGAAGCCATCAATTCTATTCCATCCAATATTTGTGAACTCCAGATTAACCATCATCCCAGCCATGCTCCGTCTCAGGCAGCTGATATTTTGAATCATTTGCCAATTGGCTCTGATACATTGGTTCAGGGAATGAGAATTAGGACAGCCTAATTGTAATGGGAACAGCGGTGTTGCTTGTTGTAGAGGACTGACATTCTCGGGGCTCTTCAAACAAGGGCCTTTTCTTTATACAGCTCAGAGCCCTGCTTCTAATGTCCACCATTGATAGTGACAGAATGTGAGATCCTCGCTGGCATCGTCAGAGCTCCAGGACCGGCTAGGGCACTTATGCAGCAAAGCTTTATTTCCTTTTTATCCCCTCTTCACACAAATCGGAGTGATCAGTGTCCAGTTACACTTAGAAGTACTTGTTATTATCCTGTAGTTAACCCCTACATGGCTCAATAATTGCCCAAATAAACACAGGAAAATAGACTCCTTACCATTGCTAGACAATGGTTGGACACCATTATAAAGTGTACCTCCAGCCCGATTGTTTATGAATAAAGTAGGAAAAGGTTAAAACATGTTTCCATTTTTATTGCCATTATGTTCTCATTTTACTGATTTTCACTTATTCCCTGCCCCATAGTGTAGTCACCAGGACAGGAAGTGAGGGGAAATCTGTTTAGCAAAGGCAGAATTGCAAAAAAACTTTTTATTAGCAAACTGAACGAAGACTAGATTCAAAGAAGAGAAAAAAGGAAAATTAAAAGAGAAGTTTTTTTTTTTTCCCCCCAAATCATACTTACATAGGTTGATGCAACATTGGTACGATGCTGCATCTCTAAGTGTGAGAAGTCATCACATGATCACTGATCGCTGAGTTCTCACTGCCACTGTGAGTAGAGAGCTCTGCCCCTCCACGCTCACTGGAGTGCTGGGCTGTGGAGGGGAGGGAGCGGCTGGCTCAGGCTGCTCCGGACTCTGGGGTGGATCCCGACTTTAAAGTCGGACTCTTTCCCCAGCCTAGACTGGTTGTTGGCTGAAAACAGGTCACAGGAGTGCAGAACGAACTGTGATCCACAGGACAAGTACAGCCAAAACAGATTTGGCTGTACTTCTCCTTTAATGACTGTAGTTAAAAGGATGAAAAGTATAGATGGACCTTAATTAAACTGTTACTGAGGGTAAAGTTCTGCTTTTTTTTTTTTTTTTTTATAAAAAACATTTAATACTTACTATATCTGTGTAGTTTTATTGCACAGAGCAGCCTAGATTCTCCTCTTCCCTGGTCTCCTGCCAAGTGCCCCCATAGCAAGCTCAGCCATGCCCCCTACTCCCTCCTCACTGGCTGTTATTGACAGCAGGGAAAGTCAACTGCTCCCGCTGTTGTGTCTGAGCCAATGAGGACGGAGAGGAGGCGGGAGAACTGCTGCTCTCATGCACATCACTGGATCAAGATTGGGCTTTAGAAACATTTTAAACCATAACTGCATTTTCAGTGAAATCAGCTAAATGCATCAGAACAGAGGCTGTTGAATTCAATAAAGCATTTATGGCATTTTTTTTCAATACCCTCAATTCCTTACCTACTCTTATTTCAGGCAAGTATGTTTATTAGTTTTAGTAACAGTACTGAAGGTGCAACAAATTCAGGCAGTTCTTATTATTACTGCTATGGCTGCAACAAATTTTTGTAAAAATTACCGCCAGTTCACAGAAGAGGAAACTAGTTGCAATTAAGACCAGCTATATGCTGGTATATAGAGAAACATCTGTGCTTGAAGTGAGGCATGCCCTTGCTGGGAAGCTTCTTGGGTTGGACAGGGCTCAATCTCCTGGCTCATTCAGCTATCGGCTGGAAGATTCCCTGGCCCAAAGCTGAATGTAAACAAAGTAGTCGAAGAGGGTACTGGTGATGCGATTACTGAAATATAGTAATACATATTTTTTGGAAATGGCACACTACAGGGAAGTCCTTCAGTTCCCCATCACGCTGCACCCACCAAACTAAAAAACTCCTCAGCTGTGTGGTGGCCACAGTGGCCAGGTTAGGAGCACACTGAGGAAGGACTGTCTAGTATGGACACTCCGATCTCACCTCAGTGTTGACCTTCAACAGATTTATGTATTGAATGGTGGTATATGATTCTGGTGCAAGCATCGACAATTTTGGTGCAGTAGCCTATTGGAATACTGGAATACTAAACAATGTACAAAACAGTCACAATCTGAGTAGAAAAGCCTCTTGCCTGCCATCATGCTGCAGAGAAGGGTTTTTTGCTCTCTGTGTGGAAGCAGTGGTCTCTCCACCTCCGTGAGTCAGAGCTAGGACTTTACAGTCAGCAAAGCATTGGTATATGGCATCACCCACATGCCCCTCCATATTCAGAATTATTGAGTATTTCCTTTGGCTCTTGGTATTTAAGGAAACAGAAGAGGAGTGAAGCAAAGGTAAGTATTTGCTGCTGGGGGGGGGGAGGTTTACTGAAAACATGGTACTTATCCCTGAATGGGCATGACAAATATTTGATTTAAATTGCATTTTAATATAATTTTAAGGGGCAAATTATTTACAGTGCTGCACTCATTACATTGTTTGGAAGTATGCCATGTTTTCCTGGAGGATAATGAATGAAGAACATGTCTAAATGAGCAGGGACATCAAAAACCCAGACTTGACCCAAGGGTCTGATTTTGTATAATGCCCTCACTGGATTATTTATCTCCCTACTAATCCCAAAAAGTCAGGAATATGACTACAGCTGAAAGTGATAACTGTTCATCCTTTGGTAGTATGCTGGAAAATGCAACATTTCTGTTTTTCTAGCTTAGTGATTTTTTTTTTTAGTAATGGTTAAAAAATCACATGCTAACACTTATAGGCAAACTTACAGCAAAATTCAGGTGTTCTCCATTCTATAAGTACACCTTTCCTGGAACAGGCAGAGGCATAGCTTGATAAGGCAGAGCAGAGGCATTCTTTTCCATTGGAGCAGGCACAGACATCGTATCGGCAGTTCTTCAGATATGGAAGGGGGTTGACCTCATTGTGACATGGCTGGAAGATGAAGTCCAACAGAACGGAGCAAGCTTCTTCAGCAAATCTGGCTGCAGAGAGCATAAGAGAAATATTTTATATCATTATGACCACATTATCAAATATATAGAAATTACATTTTTTGACAGTTTTTGAAATTCTATTTACAAGATACATTTGTAGAAGATAGGAGACTTTCTTCCTATATCAACCTTATATGGGATGAGCCAAACAACACAGTTGGATTATTTTATTTATTTATTTATTTATTTATTTATCTAGTTTATATAGCGCCAAAGGGTTTGCTCAGCGCTGTACAATAGAGGGGGGGACAATACATGAAACAGTACAGTAACATCAAACAGCACACGAGGGGTTATAGGGCCCTACTCTTTCGAGCTTACAATCTAGGAGGTTCTAGGGGGGGGTAGAGGTACAGGAGGAAATGGCTGTGGGGGGTGGAGTGGTAGGAGGAGGGAAGGGCAGCGGCTGTTAGGTGAGGGTGGGGTAGGCTTCCCTGAAGAGGTGGGTTTTCAGGGAGCGCCTGAAGGTGAGGAGGGAAGGTGACAGTCTGGTGGATTGGGGTAGTGAGTTCCAGAGGATGGGGGGAGGACCTGGAGAAGTCTTGCAGTCGTGCGTGGGGGAGGAGGAGACCAGGGAGCAAGATAGAAGGAGGTCCTGTGAAGAGCGAAGGGTACGGGTAGGGTGGTACCTGGGAATCAGGTCGGTGAGGTAGTTAGGGGCAGTCTTGTGAATGGCCTTATAGGTCAGGGTGAGCAATTTGAATTTAATGCGTTGGGCAATGGGGAGCCAGTGGAGGGAGAGGCAGAGGGGGGTGGCAGAGGTGGAGCGGCTGGTGAGGTGGATGAGTCTGGCAGCTGAGTTCAGGATGGTCTGAAGCGGGGAGAGTTTGCACTGGGGTAGGCCGGTGAGGAGGGAGTTGCAGTAGTCAAGGCGTGAGATAATCAGGGAGTGTACGATTAGTTTAGTGGTGTCTGGGGTAAGGAAGGAGCGTATCTTGGCGATGTTCCGGAGGTGGAGCCTGCATGTGTTTGTGAGTGATGGTCCAGTTTGGATCAGGATTATGGTCCAGTTTGGATCAGGCCAGCTCATAGATAGTAAAATTTGATAAATAATGAACTAATCTGCAAGACCCAGTCTTCCTTTTTTTTTATATTTACAAACTGTAAACAAAAAAACACATTTCTTTAACCACTTGCCCTCCAGAGGATTTACCCCCCTTCCTGCCCAGGCCATTTTTTGCAATACTGCGCACATAAAAGTATGAGAGGTTATTTTTGTACCCTTTCTACCATTACCTCTTTTGGGGTTCAAAATGCAAGGGTCTGTGTCTTGTTTCACCAAATCTACACAGTCACCGCTGAGCTTCCAGGAATTTCCAAAGTCCTCTACGCTGGCCTCAACAAGTCCATTTGGTGGAAGAAAATCATCACGCTGATTTCCATTATAGTTTCCACAAAGACCACTGGTGGATTCTGTATAGACTGGAGACAACTGAAAATGGAAACAAGAAAAACAAAAATAAAGCTCAGGCAGTAGGTTCTAGTCATGATGTCCAAAGAGATACTACATTGGGGATAAATCATATATACAGGATTCCTAATTAGGGGATTATTAATTATTTCAGGATAGTGGGCAAAGCCATGCAAAACATTCCTTTTGATTCCTCTGAGATAACTGTACCTCCAGAACCGCTTGTGTATAACAAAGATACAACTTAATAATATAGAGCTATGCACATGTTTAATATTGGGACAATTTGCTTCCTTTACCTCCACCTCACATTACCTTCTTGGGTTACATTACACTACATTCCTTAAATAAAGAGCTACCACAAGAAAGAGAGAATCTGATTTGTTGCTAGGTACTATAACAAAAGATTTTTATTCCAACACTGTGATAAATAAGTACCCATGTTTTCAGTAAAGGACATCAATTAGGAAAGGTTCAAAGAATGCAATTCACCTTGAGGAGAAGTTTACCATGGCCATCCCAATCAATCTGGAGGTCCTCGTGGTAGGAGAGCTGTACTGATGTCAGTGCTGTAGTCTGGATGCGGAGGGAACCTATTAAATGTCAAGAGAGACTAGTCTGTACTTATCTGTAACTTTTCAATACAGAGCAATACATATATTTCCAGGACTAAAAACTGCAGGCATTGGCTCTTAGAGGTATAGAGGCAAGTATAATAGTAAATGTTCATATTTATCACACAGAAGGTGTGGCAGCACCCAGATATTGCAGAGTTCCCCTTTAAATGTTAACATTTCTAACAGCCTCTGTTCGCAAGGTCATCAGCTCACTTCCCCCCTCCCTTATTTCCTGTGAAGTAATGTGTTCCAATCTGTAGCTGATATTCTTATCTGTAGCTGGTATTCAAGGCCATGTACTGCACAGTTTAATAAGTCTTTTGAATGTACAGAAAGTGAAAGAGGAAATATATGCATTGTGATGTAATTGTTGGTATATACACCATGTAAGAGGCTTTTGAAGGCACTTAGCTTTGCAGACACAAGTCCTTGCTAAGTCTCAACCAGCGCTGGTTAAATAAAAGGTTTGTTTTCCTCAAGTTCATGTCCGGGGTTTTACCTGGTATTCCCAAAGTTGCTACTACAAGGGGGCACACAATTTAGCCCAACTGAGCTTTCATTTTAAAGGGTTAGTTCACTTTTACTAAATAACTGCCTATATAGATAAGGGGTGTCTGTAGATAAAAACAAACTAGGCAGCCCTGACTAAAGTTGAATAATACCCTTGCTATAGGTGTAGGCTATTTACGTACGTCATGAAGCCTGACTGGAATACTAAGTGAGGCCTTGTCATTACTGCCACCTCCACCATCACAGGAGTGAGCTCTCAAATGCTGAGTTCAGAGCTACTACATCGGGGGAGAGAAAGACCACGTGAGGGCCTCACTTGGCAACATCCTGGAAGTATTCCAGTCAGGCTTCATGAGGTACGTAAATGGCCCACACCTATAGCAAGGACATTATTCAATTTTAGTGTGAGACACACAGTATGTTTTTATCCACAGACGCCCCTTACCTGCATAGACAGTTCTTTGGTGAAGGTGAACTATCCCTTTAATCAGCCAAAGTAGAAATTTCTGCCCCCCCTGTCAGCATTCTGTAGAAAAAGACCTTTGCTCTCTGAGGAGAAGCAGAGGTCTTTCTGCACATGTCCAACTTGCCCTCTTCAGAGTCAGAACTAAAGCTCTCCAATTAGCAGGGAGCGTGAACTTTGCCAATTGGAAAGCTGTAGGTCTGAGTCAGCAGGGGTTAGACTTCTGCAGAGAGACTGCTGCTTCCCCACAGAAAGCAAGGGTCCTTCTATACAGCATGATGGGAAAGGAGAGGATTTTCTTTTTGTGGCTGCTTTATAAGGAAAATGAGTTATGTATGGATCAAAGGTTGCCTTGATTTCTGCTGAATTGGCCAAAATTGTCAAAAAAAGTCAACATTTCAATCAGTTTTCATTTGTGGAAAATTCTTGGCCGAACAGAGGTTGCAGCCAATCAGATGCAGACACTGTTGGATTATTCTAACAGCTGTCAGAATGAAGTAGCAAGCAAGCTGTTTATTTGGCTCATGTTCATTCTAAGTGAGACTATGAGCAGGTAGGTAGGTGTATGTTATTGCTGAAGATGCAATGCATGTCTATCCTGCAATAAAGAGCCAGCCTGCACACAGTTTTTTAATTGGAGACTTTGGTCCCGCTATAAGACTTTGCACACCTTTTTTGATGCAAATAGAAAATATTTAAAATACTTAAACTGAAATGTCATTTGGGTTTTATCATTATCATACTAGAAGTATTTTTGTTGGACAACAAAAGTAAACACATATTTCAAACTACAGATAACACAGTGAAGGGTGTATTTACCTTGCAGCAGCGGGAGCATAATATCTTGCCCATCTATGGACACTCCTCCTCCATGTTTGAGTTTCACTGTTATATTATGCATGTCCAGGAGACGGATAGAAGCAGACCGGGTGCACACAGCATCTGGGTCATCAGCACACTAGAAATAAAACATTGTATCATTCTTTTAATAATATTTACACCCTCAAAATTAATGTGAAAAATTAATTTTTGAAGGAATGCTATTTCCCAAAACAAACAAAAAACCACACATAACCCACACTTACAATTATTTAAAATATAGTTATCACCCTTGTAATCTCTCCTCCATTCACATCATTGACGTGTAAATATTAGTTGGCCTGTAGGTGGCACTGTTTCCATCTATTTAAAATTTATAAATACACTGCTCAAAAAAATGAAAGGAACACTTTGAAAACACATCAGATCTCAATGAGGAAAATTATCATGCTGGATATCTATACTGATATGGTCTGGGTAATGTGTTAGAAACTCAAGGATGCCCCATCGTTTGATGGAAATGAAAATGATCAACCTACAGAGGACTGAATTCAAAGACACCCCGAAAATCAAAGTGAAAAAATGATGCGGCAGGCTAGTCCATTTTACTGAGATGTCATTGCAGCAACTCAAAATGGTCCTCAGTAGTTTGTATGGCCCCTATGTGCTTGTATGCATACCTGACAACATCGGGGCATGCTCCTAATGAGACAACGGATGGAGTCCTGGGGTATTTCCACCTAGATCTGGACCAGGACATCACTGAGCTCCCGGACAGTCTGAGGTGCAACCTGGCGATGTTGGATGGACCGAAACATGATATCCCAGAGGTGTTCTATTGGATTTAGGTCAGGTGAGCGTGGGGGCCATTCAATGGTATCAATTCCTTCATCCTCCAGGAACTGCCTGCATACTCTCCCCACATGAGGCCGGGCATTGTCGTGCACCAGGAGGAACCCAGGGCCCACTGCACCAGCACAGGATCTGACAATGGATCCAAGGATTTCATCCTGATATTTAATGGCAGTCAGGGTGCCATTGTCTACTCTGTAAGGGTCTGTGTG